GAAACATAAAAATATATGCCTATAAAAGTGATCAATATAATATTAAATGTAATAAATATTAATGAAAATATCATGTTGAAAATAACTTGCTCTAGAATGATCCTAGATCAAGTAAAACTCTGTATTTTACAGATGAGCAAAAGATCAAGAGACTTGTCCAAAGTTGTCTAGCTAGAAACTGACTTTTTCATCATGCATACTACATTCTCAATCTCTATACAAATTTAACTCAGGCTAAGTGTATGCGTATGTCTATCTGCATTGAACATGCAGGTAGGCTGTGTCTCAAAATTCCAGGTAGCCATAAGACTGCTAGAAATGAGGCACATATATGCATCAACCATTCCATGGTTGATGAACCAAGTTCATCTGTGATCAAGCCAGACACATGAGACACACAGTGTTGGCAATGTAAAAGCCATTATTATTATTTATAGAAAGCAAATAATAAAAGATAACAATAGATTCCCAGAGGGAAAATACTTACCTTCCCCAAATTACCCATGTCCGTTCTTATGTCAATAAGCAGGCACACAGTGGTTCAGGTCAGATACTGTGTTCATGTCACCACTACCTTCAGCTGCCACCACACCACCCGAGGCTTCTGCTCTGCCACTGGGCTTCACTGGGCCTTGCCTCATAGATGGGAAACCCCTGCACAGGATCTCCCCAGGTTCTGCTGCCAGCTCCTTCTAAGTCTCTGCTGCCAGTTCCTGCTATGCTATCTGGACCTGCAGAGCTCTCTCGCTGCCACACTACCTGGATCCTCACTCTCTGTGTAGACTTGCAACCCCGGCACAGGGCACATTCAGGCCTCTCTTGCCCTGCAGAAGCATTAGAGCTCTTTTAACTATGCTGTCAAGCCTCCTTCCCAGAGGCATCCAGATCTGCCCTGTGTAGGAAAACCCCTGCATAGGATCCTCCAAGGTAACACCTGCACAAGGCATACTACGGACTTTGTCCTGCACAAGGCATACTACGGACTTTGTCCTGCACAGGCAAGTGTTACAGGTCTCTCTTAGCTCCAATGGCAAGTGCTCTGAGCCATACAACTTTACCAGCAAGCCTCCTGCCCAAAGTCATTCAGCTCTCTCTCACCCTGTGGGTCAGCATGCCCCCAGCCACCACTTTTCACCAGTATCCTGGCTCCCAATGCTTTACTGCTGCCACCGTTCCTCAACAGAGTTTTGCTCTGCTCAGTACTGCTTCTTATTCTCTTCAGTATTACAAGTTCTCTTCTCGGTTTAGGAGGTTCTCAATGCTGGGACCCCAAGTCCGTAGTCCAAAGGACACATTCCACTAGAGACAACTCTTCTTGATAATAGTGAGGATCCCCCCTGAAATTGTGCAATTGGCCCTTACGTAAGGAAACCTCTTGTCAATTTTAAGACATGGCCCTCCCACTAAGGCCACAAACTGACCAATCCTCTTGGTAGACCATAAGATACTTAACTCGCATAGCAGATTGACCAATCCCCTTGGTAAACCATAAACCATTAAATTGCATAGTCACAGTCAATAATATCATGGAAGTTCCAAGGCCATGGCTAGAAAGACTACACAAAAGCAATTGATTACACTGCATTCAGTTAAAATAATGATTTTCTCTCCTCTGGATAAAAATGTAGCTACAACTGTTTTTCAGTCTTAATGCCAACTAGCTTTGACAGAGAATTGCTTTTAGCAGCTATGCATATAAATAAAAGTATAAATTTATACTGGTGAGCAATGGCATATTTTTTTTAAAAATAACATATAATAAAATCAAAGACTGTTGTCATATAAAGCCTACAATTACAAAAACACATACTAGTAAGGTTACGTTATTTCTAAATTTATTTTAAAAAGGCACTTTTATTACCTATGGTCAGATTGGACTTTTTAAAGAGGCAAGTAAGATGATACCTGTATCTTTCATTCCAAAGACTGTTATTAAAACCAAATCATTTAAAGTAGCAAGGAAAATACCTTGATTCAATTTATTTGTTTTGCTTCTATCAAATAACTACCATTGAGTACACTACACATTCTTTGTCTCCCTTTGAAAAAGATTTATTTTCATTTAGAATGTGTCAGTGATGAAAAGTTCTCAAAAATGAGAATATCTCTTTAAATTCAGACAGATACTTAACAAAAACACAACGCACTGTGGTGGATGGAGTCAGATCCAACTCCTAGCCACCCTTCCTTGGGTTTCCAAGGCAGTATCACTATGGAAGTAGATTGCCCAACCTTCCTTCTGAGGAGTGGCTGGTGGATTTGAACCACCAGCCTTCTGGTTAGCAGTCAAATGCCTTAGGCACTACGCCGCCAGGAATACCAATATCCTATGAAGTTACTACATGCTCTTTTCAGAAAAATAATCTTAATCTCAGCCAGTGGAATGCTTGTTGTTGTTGTTGTTATGTGCCGTCGAGTCAGACTCGACTCATAGCGACCCCTCCTTGGGTTTCCAAGGCAGTATCACTACAGTAGTAGATTGCCCAACCTTCCTTCCGAGAAGTGGCTGGTGGATTTGAACCGCCAGCCTTCTGGTTAGCAGTCAAGTGCCTTAGGCACTACACGACTACTAAGAAAACTTCAAGCCTTCCTATATATCTCTTTAGGAATTATTTTGTCAAGTACTTTGGAAAACGCCTACATTATAAAAGCTGAATACTAAACAATGTCAATGTTGAATTTCTATGAGTCCTGTGAATCAAATTTCCTAAAATGAAAATTTGCACCTGGGTTTTATCATTAAACAGGGAAGTAAGGAAACCAAAATCCTGAGTTTCTTGTTAAAATGGCTTTTTGTCTGCCAATTTATGCTTTTCCTTTAACTGTCCTGATATTACAAAGTACCTCATGGGTTTCCTTTCTCGAAGCAAGTCTTCCAAACTCCTTTCACAGTGCTCAGCCACGACCACCAGTCTCTCTGAGTAAAATAAAACAAATGTATTTTATATTTTATTAACACAATTATTTTAATGACAAAATAATATACATACCCCACTGAAGATGTTAACATATAGTACAAAATAAAAGTATCTTTGAAAAGCTTCTTACACTTCATTGAATTACCAACCATGTACAATAATAGGATATAAGTCTAGTAAAACACCACATTAAATAATGGTTCTTTTCCATTTTGTATTTTTCTCCAATCTCTCCCATGTACATCAGGGAAAAAGAAAAAAAATAGATGGAAAAGTTCACTTTGAGAAAAAAGAAGTGATTCTTCTTCTGATACAGACTCACAGAAGTAAAAGACTGGATGAAGATAAAAAAGAAACGTTGAGGTGAAAAGGGTTGGGGAGTTAGGGACACATTGCATAGATAATCTTGTTCAAATACAAGGTCTTTGAAATTGAGTTCAGAAACTTGGGAAAAGTAGTAATGTTCTGAAAAATTACTATGGAGAAAAAACAAAAAGTCAATTTGGAATTGTTTGTAACATCATGGAGTCTGCTGAGATTGTTGTTGTTAGGTGCTGTCCAGTCAGACCTGACTCATAGCGACCCCTCCTTGGGTTTCCGAGGCAGTATCATTATGAAAGTAGATTGCCCCATCTCCCTTCTGAGAAGTTGCTGGTGGGTTTGAACTGCCAGACTTCTGGTTAGCAGTCAAGTGCCTTAGGCATTATGCCTGCTGAGATTAAGTAATATAAAACTGCGGTAGGCACAATAAATATTTAATTTTCCAACAGATCAACTCTAAGAATAGGAATACACAGTTCTGAGGGTTGGCCCATGCCCTTTATTTTTTGCTCATCAGTTATCTCTAGTGACTAGTATGATACTCACATAGTATCAAACCCAGATCAATAATTTTTAGTTGAACAAACGAATGTAAGAGGAACCAAAGAATAATGGGTTACTAGGAGTTGTGTACTTGGTAAGGTTATTTCAGGATAGATTAATTGGGGTGCTGGCAAGTGTCTCGAAAACATGGCTTCTAGGCTAGATGAAAAAAAGGTCAGCATAAAATTCAGATGAAAGACTGAAAAAAGATACAGAAGTAAAGGTGCATGAAGGTTGGAAATAATGATAACTGCAAAAATGAGGTTTTATAAAAATGAAAAAGTAACAGAACTAGAAAAATGACATAGCAAAAGACAGAAAAAGGAAGTCCAGAGTAAAGTAGGAAACCAGGTATATAGAACAATTCTTAGTAATGAATAGTTCAAGGTATGGTCTTGTATACGGAAATAGAGATGAAGAATACTAGTGTAGGGGCACTCATGGAAGGTGAGAAGTTGAAACAATTTAAGGTGCCAGTATTATAATTATGTTGTTGTTGTTGTTATGTGCCATCGAGTCGGACCCGACTCATAGCGACCCCTCCTTGGGTTTCCGAGGCAGTATCACTACGGAAGTAGATTGCCCAACCTTTCTTCCAAGGAGTGGCTGGTGGGTTTGAACCGCCAGCCTTCTGGTTAGCAGTCAAGTGCCTTAGCCACTTATAGGAAACATAAATAGGAACTTAACATTCAATTTGAAGTAACAATGAGAAACAAAAGGAAAATAAAAAGGAAAGAAAATCGTGAGGTAAAAGGCTCCATTCTTCAACTCAGCAATGAAAAGAACATGCCAAGTGGTTCTTCAAACAATTTCGTAGAAGGGAAAGAGCAGGTAACACTGACTGCCAGAAAACCTGACATAGCTGATGTCAGATGGATCTTGGCTGACAGCAAAGAATACCAGAAAGATGTTTACTATGCAAAGGCATTTGACAGTGTGGATCATAACAAATTATGGACAACACTGTGAAAAAAGGGAATTCCAGAACACTTAACTGTGTCAATGAGGTACCTGTACACAAACCAAGAGGCAGTCACTTGAACAGAACAAGGGGATAATGCATGGTTTAAAATCAAGAAAGTTGTGTGTCAAGATTGTATCCTTTTACTATACTCATTCAATATGCATGCTGAGGAAACAATTCAAGGAGCCAGATATGAAGAAGAACACAGCATCAGGATTGGAGGAAGACTAACAACCTGCGATATGCAGATGACACACCTTGCTTGCCAAAAGTGAAGAAATGAAGCATTTATTGATGAGGATCAAAGACTACAGCTTTCACTACAGCTTACACCTCAAAGAAAGAAAATACAAATCTCACAACTGGACCAATAAGCAACATCATGATAAATGGAGAAAAGATTGAAATTATCAAGGATTTCATTTTCCTTGGATCTAATCAATACTCATGGAAGCAGAAGACAGGAAATCAAATGATGCGCTGCACAGAACAAATCTGCTCCAAAAGACCATGGACTGCCAGAAAATGAACAATCTGTCTCGCAAGAAGTGCAGCTGGAATGCTTCTTAGAAGTGAGGATGGCCCTATCTCACATACTTTGGTCATGCTATCAGAAGACACCAGTCCGTGAAGAAGGATATCATGCTTGGTAAAGTAGAGGGTCAATGGAAAAGGGAAAGACCATCAATGACATGGACTGACACAGTGCCTGTATGGGCTCAAACACAGAAAGGATTTTGAGGATGGAGCAGGACCAGGAAGTGTTTTGCTCTGGTGTACACAGGGGTCGCTATGAATTAGAAACAACTCAACAGTCGGAAACAACATCAGAAAATCAAAATGGGAAGCTGCACTTTTTTGCTTTCCTTTTTACCATAGCCTCTCAGCTTTCCTTGCACCTATCAGACTCCCTCATTTCATTCTCCCCTGTTGACTGATGCCTCTTCTACCTAAATTTAAGTGTTTCCAGTTCCTCTGCCTTTGATACTGAGTCTTCTGTGGTAGTTTGGTTTGTGTGTCAACTTGGCTGGGCCTGGTTGAGTGGCTGGGCAGCTGGTGGTAGTTAATCCCCATGAAGAGACTGGCAATCAG